GATAGCCATTTGTTCCTGTTTGGATTAGAGTTAGATTAGAGCTGACTCCGAGACATAGCCAGAATTCTGAACAATAGTAACACCCAGGCGACCGACAAAGGTTGTCAGCAAAGCCACAACACACGCCTGTGAGCCAGTTCCTCCAGAACATCCGAGTAGCACTGTTGGTATCACAAGCTATTAAAGCGGCCTGGTACTTAATTAAGCACTACTGCCAAGGGAAGGCTATATGGCACATCGAAGGTCACAGACGGATTTTGGCGGTCCCTGGGTAACTCTCCCACGGGCCGTGTGACCACTTGTCAAGGAGAGAGGCCACCCGTGGGGATTCTGAAGGACATCAAGCCCTTGATGGAACCGAGACCCACTACCCTATCAGGGCCAGCGGCAGCAGCGACCTAAAGTCACCTCAGAGTCACCAATGACACACATCACATGATACTATGACCTGGTGTCGCCCTGGGGTCACCGGCAGTACAAAACACGTGACACTAGCAGCCCCAGTAAATACCAGTTGAGTGTAGGTGGCGTGACGTCTTTCACAGCGCTCCCGGTGCACGTGTCAGACAGCCACGCCTCGAGGAAGGGTGTCGTGCACTCTCTCAGCTCCCGAGACAGGGACGTGAGAGAACCTCACTGCCCAGGAAGGCTGGAGGCCAGCGTGATGCCAAGGTGATCCGGGTTGAGCCCTTTGTTTTGCAATTTATTCGTGGTCCGAATTTCGAGTAAATAAGAAATAGAACTCATCTTAAGTATTAGATGTCACTGTAGCGAGGAACTTGCAAAACTTCGCCACTAATTAACATAATTAAACATTTCACTTTTCCATAACCGTCTTCAGCGGTTGTCAGCCCTTTTGTTCTTCAGGCATGATATGAAGGTCAAGATGGGATTGTGGATAAGCAGACATTTGTTTTTCAATAATTCCTACGGATTTTACGCAACTAATCACAAAAGGCTAAATGCCATTACACGTTAAGTCAACTGATGCTTTTAAAGTTATGATTATCCGAATGTTTCAAAGAATCTAACGGCATTGTTTTCAACAACCCATAACGACATATTATTAAACCCTTGCCACAAGTCCTTGTAATTCAGAGATAAATAAGCAAATCCCGCATCGCAATAACAGCTTGCAAAGCCACTTACATGGCTGCTGACATATATAAGCAGGATAATTAAGTGTAACCGGATTTAGGGGGATAGAAGAAATCACTTTCTCCGGTTCGACAATGCCACTAGACCATGACATGTGCGGTGGGAGAGTGCTATTCCAACAGTCGCTGACGAATCAGCTGAGAAAATCCCGTGTCTGGTTCTCACAGAAGTCAGATGTATCAATCAGGGCTCCAGTTGATAAAGGTGTCAGTTTGTTAAATATATTGTGCAATATAACTCGCTAGTTTCTGCAACCTTCAAACCACTCCGCACTGAGGGGTCCCTGTAGTCTCTCTCCTCCATCGTTAGTGTCCCAGCCTGTCCCATGCCTCGTGACGGTCATTGGGTCGGTCGGTGGCGTGGGGGCGGATCCCTAGACTGTCGCTGACCACCGCTCGGCCTCACAAACTCTGATTAGATAGCGTATAATGAATTGAGCCGACCGCTCCCGTCCCTTATCGTCGTCCTGTCGACCGACTACACACGCATGTCTCGACACACCCGCTTGTCCAGCGCGGGTCATGACAGTAAATTCAGGAAAATATTGATCACCAAAAATTTTGTTTTGGACGGTACCTGATTGGACCGTTACGATGTTAACCTGTAACTGCACCTTGAATAGTCTTTTTATGACACGAGAAGCCCAAACATACACAGACGAATCGTATAGCAATGTTCGCGGTTTAACTGTACACCGTACAGCGTACTTTTAACAAATTATGCTCACTTGGTGCCTCAAATTGAGTCATCTGTCTCTTCAATCTTTGCTACAGGCTGAAACAACAATAATTGGACGTGCAAGTCCGGTTCACATCTGTCCGGCATCTGGCATCGCCGCCCAGTAACTGTCCGGTGGCCAGACGCACGGTACTCGTGAGAACCGCCCAGCACGAAGGCTTGTGCCGCGACCCAAAACACTTCCTGGTTGGGACTCACGGGACAAATACCGCGGCGTTTATCATGTCGATGGGTGGATGGAGTCTATACCGCCAGCACGAGAGGTAGACTTTTGAACCAGAAATTCTCAGTAAAACAGAATCTTGGCTAGCTCTAGCGCGTGAAGTTGGTGAGATATGCGCGCTATCTGACATCTGAGAACAGTGCTGCGTACGCAGATTTCGATTTGCTCAGGGATAAAGATGCAATTGGGATGCGTTCTGGAGGATTATGACCCAACATCCGCCGTCCCGCCCAGATAGGCTTCGCAATCCGCTCCTAAGCCATGGAGCTTATCAACGCGTCCGTGAAAATCCACCGTTTAGCGTATTTACGCCGTCGTCTTTATACAAAGAGCAGCTAATCAGCCCCGCTGTCGGTTTTATATGTCACGTGACAATGCACCGGCTGGCTACCGTGAAGCCTCCGAAGCCTTTAAAGACTCTCGCTCAAGGTCACGTGATCGTCTGTCAGCGATCGGCTGCATCTCAGAGGGGTCTGTGAGGAAGGAAGTGCGGTGAGCGGTCCTCCAGGAGGGATCGCTAATTGGGAGTCTCGGAGGAAGGGATCTCGAGTACCGGTCCGCCGGTCCACGGCCCCACCTGGTGTTTACGGGCCGGAGAGGGAGGAGGGCACGCGGCCCAGCTGTCTGCCACACACTTCAGACAGTCTCCGCTCTCCAGCGATCAGTGGGTCATCACTCGGAGACTGTCTGCTGAAGGCGGTCAGACATTCTATACAAACATTTCTCAACAGATGGCATAGAGATGTCGCTGAATAACTGCATTACAGAAGATGTAAAGCCGTTTTATAAACACTAAAAATCATCGCTCATTTTAGTTTACGGAAATGCATTTTTTAACACGATCTGAAAGGTGGCGACGCTGGACTCAGCGGCGACGCTGGTTTATCCGCTGAGTCCAATGCATGCAAGCAAAACTGGCCCATTCATTGTCAAAATAATCATAAAGCATTTCTCCTTTCGCCAATCACGCAAACCACTCAAGGAATCCCAGACATATCTATGTATGTAGATGATAGATTAGATGGTTTCTTTACGACAATGTCGCATTTTGCCACGTTATCCGAATGTGCTGTTGTTGTTTGGACATTGAAGGTGGTTTGAGATGGCCTTCACCCAGTGATAGAGGTGAACCGGTTTGTCCACACGTCTCAAACTATGGCGGGGGGGGGGGGGGGGCAGACGACATATGTCAGCTCCAGAAGGCGTCACAGCCACCTCACAGTCACATCAGTGATACGTCACGGTCACATCAGTAACACAGCACGGTCACATCAGTGGTACAGCACGGTCACAGCTCTGTGACACAGTACCGTGTTTTGGCGTGAAATCTGCCGAGATGTAATTACCGACTTTTGAATTGGCCTCCTTTTAATCCCCACCGTAATTAACTTGGACACGGGAATCAAAACACAGTGTGTCCAGAGCCCTAAGATTATCCGTGGTAGGCAGGCGTCACGACAGCGCCACCCATGGTGATTGCTCACTTCAGTCATGCCATTTGGAGCTTGCGTCATGGCTTCGGTTTCAAGGCTGTCAGAATCCGATTGATGACATGAATAGTGTGTCCAAGGCTATAAATACCGTCCTGAAAAGCTTACGGATGCTGCCATAAAACGGTAGTCAAAGTCTAAGATTTGAAAGGATCTCTAGAGATCGGTGTGGGCAAAATTTATGACGCCATTCGTGCACACGTACACAAATGCTGAATCGCTTATCTCTGGCATTATGATTTAATGCCGGCTCACATAACGTGCTATGCAGTATAACTTATTAATTTTCTACTAGTTTATAGGGGCCATTCACGTAATGTTGAAATTCACAATGAATGTATGAATGCTGAATGAGTATGGAAATTAGCATAGCACTCTGAGCTCTAACCAGTGCAGACCTGGGCAACGTGGTAGAGTGCCACTTCTGAGCTTTCTTGATTTATTTCATGAATTGGGTTTCAAATTATTATGTTTGTAGATGCAGCTTGTTGCGTCAAGAGGCTGTGCTGGTTCGTTCGTCAATAACGCTTTGATATTCCGTGAGTTATTCGTGATGCTTATAATGCATTAGCGGCGCTTGGACTCCCAGCAATGCTATGACGCAATCCAATCAGGCGCCGGCCTGCTGCTACCGTACAGCTGCCAGCGTACACAAGCCACTGTCATATATTGCTGCCTGCTAGGTCAAAGGAACAACATGTTTTGAGCAGCCGCGGCACACTGAGTATTGATAGCAGATTGAATTAGTTCCATCATCATTTGTGGGTCAATCCGATTAATCGTTTCTTCTGACCTTGGCCATTTCATTGTGATGTTATTGCTGTATCCTTCACGAACTCTTTCTTCTATGGAGAGGTTAGCCTTGCATGAAAGGAACTTTAACGATCGCCAGCAAGGAGCTCTCTGGTATACCTACTTGACGACAGTTTTCTGGTAATTTCTGGAGTCAACTTTTTTTGTTGGTGATTTTTTTTGTGTCGCTCACATGACAAATGCATAGTAGGTATATGTCATATACCTACCTACTCTGAAATCACCTGTCGTTTCGGAATTCCTGTGCATACAGAGGAGGGTATTTCCTATCCAAATACGTCAAGGAACATTGATTTCGTGCAAATAGGAGCGTGTCAGCCTGACGTGCATTTTATAGCAGGCTGTCTGACATTTTCGCTCACTTTGTTGTTTGGGATGCAGACCGCAGCATCTGCCTATCTGCAAACTCTATCTACGATTGGCTAAACACGGGCTTGCTTGGATAGTGGAACACACGCTAGATTCTCCCCAGATCGGAAAGCTAGATAGAACTCGCGCAAGCACAGCACACATTTTTAAAGTAAACAATGCAAGTCGTCCGTTCAGAACACGAACGGGGCTCGACTACTATTGCTCACCTGATAATAGCAGTCCAAATTTTAGCACTGGCCCTGGCAGCTGCTCGCTGATGTCACTGGCAGTCCAGACGAGCCTCTATCCATCACCCAGCCGCCTCAGTCTACTGTTTCGCCCTCGTGTCTCCACACGCACCGTTCTGTCACAAGGAGCCGCGCTTCACACACCCGCCCTTCTCCGCAGCTCCAGCCTCACTGCCGACCGACCACGCGTGCCACCCGAGCGGCCAGCCGCGGCGCGGTTCAAACACGTGTGCCCCCGGTGGCCGACGTCGTCGGCGGCGCTGCAGCGCCGTACGAGAATCAAATAATGGGATATAAACGCGCCGGCGCCGGTCTGCAGGCGGTAATTGGAAGGCGGGCTCGTTGGCGACGCACATCCGGCGCGCAGTGTAACGAGGCGGCGCCGGACAGATTGGTGGGCCGCCCCGCCGGCCTCCGGAGTCAGATGCCGCCCTAGAGGTCTCTGGGAGTTTGATACCGTCGTACTCCGGTATCAAATACCATCGATAGGGGAGGGAGGAGAGTGAGACAATCAACAGGGTCTCCCAGCTTCCGGTGGAACAAATACCACCTGTTGGACCGTTCGTTCTCACAGTTAGTGCGGGCGTTGAGCTCATAGTAAAGTGTCTACCGTGCTGATGGATCTTCTTAATTACGGTGGACGGTTAGTCATAAAAATTATCGTCATTTTCGTTCTTAGTCACTGACAATCGCTTAACGGTGTGTCGCATCTTGCCGCGTAATTTTGAATATGCCATATGCAAGGCATGAAGGTAGTATAACATTGTCACTCGCCGTTTTATTCACTCGTTAAATACTGCGGCATGGCAATTAGGCATTGTGGTTCACTTGTGGAATGTGAAGATAGTGGCCAGCCTGCCTTAACATCTTCATTAGTGCCGTAAGCAGACAGAAAACAGTACAAAAAGCCGTCCAAACTCTTTTTAATCAAATCATGTCTGGAGCTTCGTTCCGTCAACGCACATGTATGTAAGAAACACAAAGGCATTGTAGTCCCTCTCGATAAAATCACACATGTCCCGCAAAAGCAAAACTAATATTACATACATTCCAAAGATAGCATCGTTCCATTTCACCGAATTCCCTTCTTACCACAGCAGACGAAAATGTCAAAAAAGACTTTCGAGTTTTGTCCCGTGTAGGCAGGATACTCTGCTACTCGCCATCGCAGTCTCTCAGTTACTGCCCTATGCTTCCGTCGCAGTCTCGGTGTTACCCTCTATATCCCCGTTGCAGTCTCCAGCCACGCGCCTGCCGGCCGGACGGGGTACTGCGGGTCAGTAGCTCAGTGGTGACCGGCGCCGTTCCCGTTACCGGCCCGGTGGGTGGCACACGGTCGATGACGGGTCGTCAGATCGCCCCGGGGCAGACCCGGCCGCCCGCCTCGGCTGGAGAGGAGACCGCCGGCAGTGCCCCCAGGGCCAGTTGGTGAGTGTTTGGGGCGGGTCCGCCGAGCTGGGTGGCTGATGGTGTGGTGGGCCGCAGGCACTGCTGTGCGGTGGTCAGTATTGAAGGCGTGTTCTCCTGGTGTTTTGATGCATTGGACGATACATTGGGTAAGTGTTGTGATGAGGTTTCCAGTCTACCACGATGGTAAAACATTTGAGTGAACTTATTTAATTTTAGCTATTGTGTCTGTAGACCTTATTAAAACCCACTGTCAGCCAGACAGGCCTTTCCAATGTTCTCGATACCATTGATTAGGGGTGGCTGGTCCTGGAAGCCGGTGAGGAGGGGGAGGGAGGCTGGCCACGCGTCACCGATTGAGAGAGAGAGGGGGGCGGGGGGGGCACCGGAGCGTGGCGCCAGCTGGGCCGGTCACCGGATGGAAATCACGCTGGGGAATGGCGCGTGAACGGCGAGGGAGGGGAAGAACGAATGTCCATAGCGATACTGAAGAGCGGTCCCGCCGTTTTTTCTTGCTTCTGGTATGTTACCAGCACATTGTTTCGCTATTTGTGAGCTGAAGCAAATATTTTATTGCATTAAAAGCTTGTATTTTCAATTATTTTCCCAATGATTCAGCCGTATGTAGATAATGATGATTCTCATAGGTCATAGGTAGACTTACACTGTTTGAAACATTCCCTCGGCATAACTCGTTATTTATTAGGAAAACTTACAATGTTTTAAATTTTATCATGAAAACAATCACAGTTTTTCAGTCTTGAATTGTGGAAGGACAAACACGAGAATGAGAGCTGGACACATCGCCAAGGATGTGATGCGCCTCGGCATCTAATGGCCATGAGAAACTAAGCCATTAATACCTGTGATGAAAACGTCACTCTGTCATTTATTTGGATGCTGAGATGCGCATAGCGGCAAATAATTAATGCGAATTCCCCACAATTAGTTTTTTAGTCGTCTGTGTTATGACCTTTTTTGCACATGCCGGACGATTTGTCTGGGAGGAACCGTTGCCGGCTGTTTTAACAAATGAGACGTTCCAGGAATGTCTGAGAGAGCCGTTGTCTTTTTGTGAGTGAGGAGGATAGATTGTTCCACGGTCACAGTTCGTTCGCATATGATCGGCAATACTGCCGGTTCAAAGAGCCAGGCATGATTACAGGCTCGTTATGTTGCGGAATTAGCCCAGCTAATGAAGGAAACATTGCTGAAGTCACTCCTTCATTTAAAGAGTCAAAGCCCTAAACTCCAGGACTTACAGGCCCGTTGAACAGTGAACAGACGAACACGGTGCATGAGGTCGTCCAGTTCACATCTAACCATCCAAACTCAGTGAGTGGTCAATCAGTGCAAGTGAGTTATGAACAATGTGCAAATTTCAATGTGCAATGTTTCACTTTATCAGTGGTCGGCATAGTGTGTAGCTGGACTCCATGTCCGAAACCTGTCAATAGGTGATTTAGTGTATTCAGAAAGATTTCATTGCAATCAGCGATGCCGAGCACCGACGTCGTACATTTTGACTCTAAGCACCAAAGCTGCACTGACCTGATGCCCAGTTTTGAATTGAATAGGCCTAGCATGACTCAGTATTTATATGACCTGGAAGAACTAATGCTTTGCATTCTACGATCACAAACGGTTCACGATAAATGCAGCTTTTGGATATTTCGAAGGCGTTTTTTTATCCAACTCATTTAAGTAACAGCACATGGCAAACCTTGCACCAGCAACAGCACACGTTTCTCGCAAGGTAGGTGTGAGTAAAGAAAATATAAATTTCAAGAAAAGGTCCAGGTACCGCTAACCACATGCTGCTGCGCATGTGGTGAGATTGTCAGAAATCGTAATACCAGTGATAAAATGGTTGTCAAATGTTGCGGTTTGCCAGTTGGTAGGCAGACTGGGACGAATACAGCATAGCTGATGTATTGTTCCGGGTACTATTTGCTTCGGATCATGACTGCAGTTATTGCTGAAAGTAACCGCTCAAATCCATGAGCATGTTACGGCTTTATGCTGCCTAACCACGTTCCATCACAGTCCTGAATGTTTGAGTATAAAAAAGAAAAGTTTGATTACGAATTTCATGTAGCTGATGAAGATATTTTTAATGAATGTTTTCCTTGAAGCCTAAGTATAGATTTTACATTGATCACTTTCAACACATTCTTCAAGGTATTTGATTAGGCTCACTGCTGTCTATGTTCAAGGATGGTGCGTTTGAAACTCTATATCCCGGACCACCGAGACCCCTAGACAGCGACCGTGCTAGTCACCGTCGTGCAGCGTCGCCATTTGTGGTGTCTATCTCGGTGATGAAAAGTGCCGACAAAGCTGACGCCTTCGCTATTTGCACGGATTAAGGTCCACGTGCGGCGAGGGTGACAGTGAAAAACACGAACAACATCGCTCAACATGGTTTTGCCGCGTAAGTCGAAAGTGAAACAGAGGCAAACCATCCGTGTAAATCGCCAAATACCCACCACAACCCGGATATTTTTGCGTGCGGTCCTGGTCTAATCCGACTGGAAGCGTTCGCCAAGGACATGCGGTGACATTGCCGCACGGTCAGAGGCGATCAGAAGGTATAAGTGCGTGTTTTACCACGGCAACATGGCTTTTCGGGAAACGCTGTAGATAATCATGCCTTTTACTTCAGTTCTTCTCTTCTATAATGCTAACGGTTTTTTCCCTAAACGCATGCCTCTCAGGCAATGTTACTGCGACGAACGGTGGCTGAACGCCTGGAGGTGCCTATTTGTGTATGCATTTGTGTGCGCACATGTAAAGAAAATTTGCCACTTGAATTTATTTACATTTACTTCAAACAATAACTGCTACATAACTTATTTACCTGTAGTTCATTAATACCGCCATGTGTTGATCGGCAATCGGCTCTACACTGTTGATGTTTAGCCTCCTGTGCGGCAGCTACGAGTGCGCCCTATCACCTCCATCACCCCCCCCCCCCGCCATACTCCCGCCCTATGTGTGCGTCTCCACCTCGTCTCCTTGTTCCCAGAGGACGTCCATCTCCGCCGGGATCACCGCCAGTCCACCCGACCGTGTCCCAGTTCCTGCGGAACCTCCTCTCCCCTCCCCCGCCCTCTGGCCGTTCCGGTCCCCCGCCCAGAACCACTGACCGGCAGAGGTGTAACCCTGAGCATGCCCGGTTTCGCCTCAATGAGTGTCGCGTGCTAGGTGTTGTCTATATATGGAATTATTTTACGCATTTTCTTTGCACTATATGATTAAGGTAATTTAGAAAGTCGGCTTCGTTCAATAGTGCATTCAGTTTTTTCCTTTGTGTTGTGTAACTACTACACATTCGTGTGTAAACGAATTAAAGAGCATATGATTGTGTGAGGCATCAAGTGTACCGTTAGGTGATATGACTTCATTAATATCCGATTGAGAAGGCGCGTGCTGACAAGCCGAGGTAAGCGTAAAACGACAAAACATACAAGAAGCAACGATCACGGTATCGCACGATCACGGTGTGACCTCACGCAACGTCACGCCACGCGGGTGCACGCACGCCCGCGCGAGAGCTGGGGTGAGCTCGAAATCCGGCAGGCTTTGTGCAGTGCAAGCAGCGCGCGCAGTCTTTGTGGGTGCGTTTATTCCTGCATACGCTTGTGTATCGTAGCCTGTCAGGCGTCTATCTGGGCCGATAAGAAGTCAAACGCTCTGCTGACAGGACCTAACTAGTATTGTGACGACTCGGCGGTCCGCTTCCCGCCCGGAACAGCTGCGGTGCGTCGCTGGTGACGCGGTCAGCGG